GTTATGGAGTAGTAAGTGACTCAGTGATTAAGACATCTGATTTTCAACCACTAAGTTACAAGTTCGAACGCTACACTATCACATAATTTGTTTAATGGGTATTGAGTACAATATCCTGCTCTCAACAAAAGTCTAGCTCGAAACCCAGTACTTGAATCTGAACCTAATATATGATCTGATAAAGATAATTATTCTCATAATATACGATTCTACAATGAGTGGTTTGTCCTAACTAATGTGACAGTATGTTTAATCATGATGAACCATTCTTTAACTGTTTTAATGCAAAACATCGTTGGCTAGCTTCGTGAGGGAGTTCTTGGAGTTCTAGTGCAAAGTCGTGACTACTGGAGTTCAACCTTGTCGGATGTCAGACAATTGCCTACTAAAGGCAGTAGTTGAGGTCGCGCACCACCGTGGATTGATTCAAGTTAGAAGTTAACACCGTTGGATGGTGGCCTGGCTTAATGGTCTAGAGGTGAAGTGTTTACGCACGAGACTTCTTGGATTCGATTCTCACGTGCCGGAGTCGTGGACGCACACTGGTGACGAGTCCTATACTTGAACGAAACGGCCGTTTAGTGTTTCCAGCTTACTAATGGTGGTCTAGCACTGAATAGTTCATAATTTCAGTGAAACTCAATAGTCTCTACAAACCTGTAATAAATACTTGTTAATCACTGAAATGAATTTTTTTCTTTTTAGCTTTAGTATATTACTAGTTCATTTCAGTGTAGTAGTATAACTAAAAGTAGATGGAAAATTCCTAGCTTATCTGATATTTGTGCAAATCTTTTGAAGAGAGTTTAATCTACAAACTGACATTCACTTACCTACTGTCGAAATTGTAGACAATATATAACTGTTTTATCATGGTATGGAATAACACACCATTTCGTACCCATGAATCTCACCCAAAATAACTAATCACAATGGGGAGTACGTTACTTTTGACATCGAATAGTCGGTTTCTATCATTGTCCATAGTTATTTACTGTTTTATGGTTTAGATCAGTAATTAAATTGATTTATGACTATCAACTCTTCTGAGCTGTGAACAGCTCAGAGTACGAAACTCCATCAAAATCATCTACCTGAGCTACAAATGTTCTCCACCATCTCAAACTTGAAGGGAAATAACTTTCTGCTTATCATTTAGATTAAGATAAGCGAAGAAAATCCAATCGATACTCAACGTCTTACTTACTTACTTAATTACTTACGCCTGTTAACCCCAATGGAGCATAGGCCACCCACCAGTTTTCTCCAACCAACTCTGTCCTGGGCTTCCCTTTCCAGTTCTGTCCAATGGTTGTTCATTCCTCTCATATCTTTCTCTATTTCTCGGCGTAATCTGTCCCTTGGCCTTCATCTTTTCCTTTTGCTTGCCTTGAGGGTTCCATGTGAAGGCTTGTCTTGTGACGCCGCAGTTAGGTGCTTTTCGTAGTGTATGTACTCATCGTCACTGCAAGTAATTTAGTTTAAAATGAATTCTGTTTATTATTTGTTGTTGAAATGACTACAGAGTGTATAGATTGAATGCGTTAAATATTCAATGTTTTATTTTGATTAAAATACTATATATTTTAACAAATATTCATTGTATTTGTAAGTTTTTTTTATAAAATCAGTCAGTCAGTCAGTCAGATAAGGGAATGTGAGTAGAGTTAGTTGTGGAGAGAAGAGAGGTATGTGTGGGTGTAGGAAGGATTTGATTTCGACCAAATTGGTCTCTCGTGCTGTTACGGGTATGAGGGCGGTTGTCACTTCCCGGCTGCCCACACCGTTGAAGGTTGTTTCTTGAGGGACCTGAAAAGTAAGATAGATTAGTGTTGGTCTTGGAGACCTGGTTGCGTGACCACAGAGTCCAAGGGACAACTGCTTGAGACCGGTCACGCATGGCTTTTTTATGAAAGGTATTTTGAGGATTAGCTCCATTCTTAAAGGCCCTTAATGGGCACCCTTACCGCCGGAGACGGAAATCCGTTAGGTAGGGTGAGGTGTGACATTATTAGGGTCAACCTTTTCTAACCCTTCCTTCCTTGTGAGAAGTCAACATCGCTGCAGATGCTGGTTGTCCGAAGGAAACACCTTACTGCTGTCACACCCCTCTGCAGTCAGTCAGCAGTGCGACTTCGCCCTCAGACCTTGAGTAGCTGCTTTTAGTCTCATCGTTCTCCAATCGACCTGTCCGGCTGGCATGGTAGGACCTGCAGGAACATATGTTCCAGCCAGTATAGCTGGGTTGGGTCATCACGATAGGCAAGCCCGACCACCGCGTCAAGGTAGCAGCTACGGTCGGGTTTTTTATAAAATAATAATAACCATACACATTGGTTTTTAATTATTACCATTATCGACGCTCAAAAATCTGCTGCTTTCTATGTATAACTAACACCTCCTATCAAATGTGTAAGATTTATTGAATTTTTATTCTAACGACATATGAACGTTTGTTACTGTTTTTTACGCGAAACTGATGCTGTATAACTGTTGCATAATTAATATCTTACTCTCTTAACAACCAATAACGTATAACGTATATCCAAGTTGATAATGGTTTTTTAAAAAGGTTTATATTCATGAATTGTTTATTATTATGTTGGTGGATTTTTTGGAAATTGGTGTTATTTGCCTAGTTGAAATCTCGAACAAATATAAACCGGACTGTCTATCATTCAAAACTTGGAAGCATTGGATGGCCATTTCATCGCAGTAGTACGTGCTCATGAGCCACAAATTCCCTTCATTACTAAAAGTCTTGTGTTCACTAATTACTGACTTCATGATGGCAGTCTTGAAGTTCTAATGAGAAGTTTTGAACTACTGATTTCAATCCATATCAAGTAGAAGAAAGGTGTCGGCCGCGGTCATTAGGTGAATGCTGCACAACATTATGAATTGGTTGAAGTTAGACATTAACAAACATCATTGGATTCGGATCATGTGCTGCGTGACCAATGGTCCTGAGAGATATTAGGGGATGTAAGAAGGATTTGATTTTGACCAATTTAGTCTCTCGTGCTGTTACGTGTATGAGGGCGGTTGTCACTTCCCGGCTGCTCACACCGTGGAAGGTTGTTTCTTGAGTGACCTGAAAAAGAAGTTAGAGACCTGGGTGCGTGACCACAGAGCCCAAGGGACAACTGCTTGAGGCTGGTCATGCCTTTTGATGAAAAGTTTTTTGAGAATTAGCTCCGCTCTTAAGAGCCCTTAGTGGGCACCCTTACCGACGGAGACGGAAATCCGTGAGGTTTGGTGAGGTGTGACATTTTTAGGGTTCATCTTTTCTTCCGTTGAGAGAAGGCAGAATCACTGTAGATGCTGGTTGTCTGAGAGAAACACCTTACTGCTGTCACACCCCTCTGCAGTCAGTCAGCAGTACGACTTCACCCTCAGACCTTGAGTAGTTGCTTTTAGTCTCATCGTTCTCCAATCGACGTGCCTGCTGTCATGGTAGAACCTTCAGGAACATATGTTCCAGCCAATATAGCTCGTTTGGGTCCGACGTGGTATGGCAATCTGAACTGATTTACTTATGTACGAAGTTCTGCGTTGTATCTGTCTGTTTGTGTCTGTTCAATGGTACTGGGTTCAATATTCACTTGCGACGTCGTAGATGTGCACTATTGAGAAGTCTTATACAAGAACGAATCGGTCATTTAGTGCTGCCTGAGACTACTTCGAGATTTGTATTGATGAAAATTTTTTCAAGTTTTCATATATTATCTGCACCACTACTGTATGTACGATTGAGTGTTTGTTGTTTTGTCAGACAATATTCTCAGTATTTTACGTCATAGTCAAGAAAATCAGGTCAAGATTAAAAAAAATAACCACCAATCAAATATATATAACAAAAAACAACAAGGTCATTAGAATCATCAGATTGTTAATGATAAAGAGGAATTTTTTTTTTAATAGTTTACTTCCTTTTCTCGATGAAGCATGTGCTATAATAAATGTTGTTATGACATACTTCCTGGATGAATTTATTCAGCGTGATTATTTGATTTTTATATTACAATAAAGTTTGTAGCATCCATTCTCTTAATGTTGTTTCATGAAACTACTTAAAGCGTAATTTTAAAGTTTTTGAGATATTGCTTACTGATTTACTTACTTACGGATGTTATGCCCGATAGAGCATAGGCAGCTGACCAGCATTCTGCAACCTACTCTGTCCTCAGCCTCCTTTACCAGTTCTGTACAATTTTTGTTCATTCTTCTCATATCTTTCTCTATTTCTCGGCGTAATGTGTTCTTTGGCCTTCCTCTTTTCCTTTTGCCTTGAGGGTTCCAAGTGAGGGCTTGTCTTGTGACGCCGCAGTTAGGTGCTTTTCGTAGTGTGTGTCCTATCCACTTCCACCGCTTCTTCTTGATTTCCTCCTCCACTCGAATCTGGTTTGTTCTCTCCCACAGTTGGTTGTTGCTGATGGTGTCTGGTCAACGAATCCGAAGTATTTCACGAAGAAAACTGTTAATAAACACTTTTATCTTCTGGATGATGGCTTTGGTAGTTTTTCAAGTTTCCGCTCCATACAGTAGAACTATCTTGACATTTGTATTGAAAATTCTGATTTTGGTTTTTGGTTGAAAGTTGTTTGGAGTTGTAGATATTTTTCAACTGTAGAAATGTAACCCTTGCTTTGCCAATCCGCGCCTTCACATCTGCATTGGATCCACCTTTGTTGTTGATGATGCTGCCCAGATACGTAAAGGTGTTAAAGTCCTCCAATGAATCTCCATCATAATCCAGTCGATCACCAGGAGAGAGTAAGCAACTTTGTCTGACACAGAATGAAAGCTCCACAACTAAAACATCCTCATTTCAACGAATTATCTTGACATTTATATTGAAAATTTTGACTGTAGTGTCAGTTAATAGTTGTTTTGCGTTCCAAATGTTCTTCACTTGTAGAATTGCCGAAATTTTTTAAGATATAACTTGAATAGTTTATACAATATATATATAATTCTCTTTTTTACACTCTTCACAGGGTACTGTTCGTAAATGGACAAGTTATTTTGATTACATTGTCACTGATGCAAGAAAACCGACATTCTTTCAAGAAGGAACAATTTTACGAGCTGTTTGTCAAGTTAGTCAGTCGTCAAATTATCCTCAATAATCATAATATAAACTAACTGTGTTTGTTAATCTCTCCTAAATTTCTGTCGTTTCATGTCAAAAAAATAACATTTCATTGATAAATTTAACTCTCTCCATTCTTGTTAAACTTTGTCGTAGACATCCTCTTAGAGCTAACATTAAGCTCGTCAGATTTTTCAGGGGTTGACCTTCTACCAGAAGGATCGCTTACTGACCTAGAATATGCCGATGACATAGTTCTATTCGGTGAAGACGCTTACAAATTGCAGAGTCTTCTGACCACCCTTAGCAACAATGCAAGCATGTTCTGGATGCGGTTCTCACCATCGAAATGCAAAATGTTGCTTCAAGACTAGGTTGCATCGGCATCTGAACTAGTGATAGGGAGTGAAGCAGTTGAGCGTGTCGACCTCTTCACTTATCTCAGGAGTCCCATCAGCGCTGATAGGCTGGTGACTGACGAAATCTCAGTACGGATATAGAGGGCTCGATTGGCTTATGCCAATGCACGTCATTTATGGCGTAGGCTAGATATCCGTTTGCTCACAAAAGGACGAGTGCACTGTGCAGTAGTTTGCTCCGTTCTCCTGTATGGTTGAGAAACATGGACAGTAAGAATAGAAGATATTTATAGGTTACTAGTATTTGATCATAAATATCTTGGAAGCATTGCTCGTGTATCTTGGCAGAACCGGGTAATCAATGCTGTTGTTAGGAAACGAGTACTAGGTAAGGATGGCAGATCAATAGATGAAGTATTGAAAGCTTTGGACATCTATTACGAATGCCCGATCACCGACTGCCTCGACGGGCTATGTTTTGTGTTGTAGGAGCAGGTTGGAAGAAAGCTGAGGGCGATCAGACCAAGCCATAGTACAAATTTATGGAGTCACTGGCGAGTGGACTGAGTCATGTTGGTAGATGTGGACTACCTGGTTCGTGTCCGCGAGACGATAGTAACCGATGGTTAGAGACCTTGAATGACATGGCTCAAAATCGTTTGCAATGGCTCACGTGCATCCACCTGAACTGATGTACTTACATACGAAGTTCTACGTTGCAACTGACTGACTGACTGACTATTTCATTTGTTTATTATATTCAAAACCTTAATTCCTCTAAATGCACTGCAAATCACGCACAAATTTTGTAAACATACTACACTACAGTGGGTTTTTTTTCTCTCACAATTCCATTATCGCATTTGACACTTGGATTTATCACAAAATCAGTTGTAATCCATAAAGTCAGTGAATACAAGTGATTGAACTATTATCACTATCATCAGTATGATTATATTTAAACAAAACTATGTTGATCAACCGAATAATAAACACTTGATGAAATAATCCAAAAATAATCATCATAATCATAATGATAATAATAATTAGGACAAGTGAATATACAGTGTAAATGAAACGATGAATTATTTAAATATATAAATATAAATAAATATTTCTAATAATATAATGAGTGATTATTAATTTTTTTTAAAAAAAATCTAATATAGACTTGTAATGTATACATCTTAAGTGAATTGGTCACAAATTGATATGTGACATTATGGTAGTCGGAAAGAGTGTGTGTGCGTGTGTGTGGTCGTGTGTTATAGTTAATAATAATAATAATAATAATAATAATAATAATTATAATTATTATTATTATTATTATTATTATGAAATTAAATGTAAGTCAGTCAGCAACAACGTTGAATTCCGTACGTACGTAGGTACGTACATTATTTAAAGTTGCCATAACATCCATATTAGTCGAGGCAGTAGAACTATAAACAGTAATCGCAAAGATTAAAATTTGAAGACGTTATTCATTCAAAGAGCAGAATTCAGTGAAATAAATATAAGAATAGAACCGAGCCCTCTGTATCCGTACTGAGATTTCGTCAGTCACCAGGCTATCAGCACTGATGAGAATCCTGAGATAAGTGAAGCGGTCTACACACTCGACTGCTTCACTCCCTATCACAAGTTCAGATACCTATAAAGCCCAATCCTGAAGCAACATTTTGCATTTCGAGGGTGAGAACCGCATCCAGAACATGCTTGCATTATTGCTCAGGGTAGTCATAAAACTGCATTTTGTTAGCATCTTCACCAAATAGAACTATATCATTGGCATATTCTAGGTCAGTAAGCGATCCTTCTGGTAGAAGTTTTACCCCTGAAAAATCTCGACCGAAGCTGCTACCTTGACGTGGTGGTCGGGCTTGCCTATCGTGATGACACAACCGAGCTATACTGGCTGGAACATATGTTCCTGCAGGTCCTACCATGCCAGGCAGGTCGATTGGAGAACGATGAGACTAAAAGCAGCTACCCAAGGTCTGAGGGCGAAGTCGTACTGCTGACTGCAGAGGGGTGTGACAGCAGTAAGGTGTTTCCCTCAGACAACCAGCATCTGCAGCGATGCTGCCTTCTCACAAGGAAGGAAGGGTTAGAAAAGGTCGGCCCTAAAAATGTCACACTCCCCCTAACTCACGGATTTCCGTCTCCGTCTGTAAGGGTGCCCACTAAGGGCCTTTAAGAACGGAACTAATCCTCAAAAAACGTTTCATAAAAAGGCCGTGCGTGACCGGCCTGAAGCAGTTGTCCCTTGGACTCTGCGGTCACCCACCAACACTAATCCATCTTCCTTTTCAGGTCCCTCAAGAAACAACCTTCCACGGTGTGGGCAGCCGGGAAGTGACAACCGCCCTCATACCCGCAACAGCACACGAGACCAAATTGGTCAAAATCAAATCCTTCCTACACCCCCTCATGTCTCTCTTATCTCTACGACTAACTGTACTCACACTCCCTTTTCTCACTGCACCGCTAATGCAGACGAAGCGAGATCACGAAACGTCGTTCCCGGTCTCTTGAAACCCCGTTCTAGACTACATGTTGGAGCTTTTAATGTACGGACATTGTGTCAAATAGGGCAACAGGCATCATTAGCTAGGACTTTAGAATCTCGTGCCATCGATGTATGCTGCGTCTCGGAAACGCGCATACAGGATCCTAGTAAAGTCATTAACCTGATTCCACCTTGTCAAAACGAAGAAGCAGTTCGATTTACTCTTCGTGTATCCGGTAGCCCTGATGCTGCTTCCAGGGGTCTTGCTGGCATAGGCATAGCGTTGAGTCCTAGGGCAGAATTATCTCTCCTAGACTGGATCCCAGTAGATAGTCGTTTGTGCGCTGTCCGACTAAACGGGACGGTAAGGACTCGGAAGGATAGGGACACTCGCCGTTGCCTCTTCGTCATATCTGCCTATGCCCCCACTGACTGCAGTGCAGACGAGGTTAAGGATGAGTTTTACAGAAAGCTTTCGGACCTCCTCCAAAAAGCTAAGCGCTCTGACATAGTAATAATGGCTGGTGACTTTAATGCTCAAGTAGGTAGACTAGGTGAAAAGGAAAGACATCTTGGTGGATGTTATGGTGTAGCGACTGAGAGAACAGACAATGGCGACCGTCTGTTGCAACTATGCTCAGATAACCGCCTATTCTTAGCGAACACCAACTTTAGGCATAAGGAAAAGCATCTGTTGACCTGGCGACCGCCGAAGTCGTCTCAACGTTGGACTCAACTAGATCACATCGCCATCAGCCACCGAAGCAGAGGCTCGATAGAAGACTGTCGCTCGTTTTGGAGCACATGTTTGGATTCAGATCATGCTCTAGTGCGAGCTCGTATCTGTTTAAGGCTTACTGGACGTAGGAAAGACACCGTAAGAAAGCCTCTCAGGGTTTTACTCAATGATAATCAAACCAAGAAAATATTTCAGGAGCAACTAGAAAGACAGTTAGGCGACCATTTAAGCGGTTCCCATCCGGAAGCAGGATGGAATGATATCAAAAAGGCTGTGGAAACAGCAGTGATATCTGCTAGTAAGGTTGACCATAAGGCTAGAATGAAACCGTGGATCTCAGTAGCATCCACCGAACTGATGGATGCTCGAAAACGCATCCCACCTGACTCTGAGCATGATGAAGAGCGTAGTCAGCTTAGGCGCAGACTTATAAAAAGTCTGCGTAACGACCGCGAGCAGTGGTGGGTGGCGAAAGCAAAAGCGATGGAAAAGGCAGCGGCGATAGGCAACACTAGACAACTTTTCCGCCTTATTAAAGAAACTGGTATTAGGAATCATAGTGTAAGTGAGACTATCTCGGAAAAGGATGGTCTTATTATCCATTCTCAATCCAGGAGACTGGATCGATGGGCAGAACACTTTAGGGATCAGTTCAACTGGCCACGAGCCACTCTTCGGTTACCCACGATCTCCAGTCATCCTGAATGGCAAATCGACGTAAGTCCCCCTAGTCTTAATGACGTTGAGAAAGCGTTAGGAAATCTGAAACGAGGACGAGCTGCAGGTCCTGATAGACTGACCCCTGAGATATTCAGGGATGGTGGTCCAGTTTTAGCAGCTAGATTGACTGAGATCTTAGGTAAAATCTGGGAACTGGACGTAATCCCATCCGACTGGTCTCAATCCTTGATTGTCCCAATCTATAAGAAAGGACAAAAGTCTTCTTGTGACAATCACAGGGGAATAAGTCTAACTAATATAGTATCTAAAATATTGGCCTCAATAATACTTCGACGCTTAACGAAAGCTCGTGAAGAGCAGACTCGAGAAAACCAGGCTGGTTTTCGACCTGGACGTGGCTGTATAGACCACATCTTCACACTCAGACAGGTCCTGGAACATAGACACACATTTAGGCGTCCTACAATAGTTGTTTTCCTAGACCTTAAGGCGGCATTTGACTCTGTTGATCGTAAGGTTCTGTGGCAGTGTCTGTCATTGAGAGGTGTACCACAGAAGTACATTAACCTTATACAAGCTCTTTACTCGAACACCACTGGTCGGGTGAGGGCTTATGGCGAACTGTCACCGGAATTCTCTACTTCAAGTGGTGTCCGTCAGGGATGTCCACTTTCTCCATTCTTGTTTAATTTTATCATAGACATGCTCCTAGAGTTAACATTATCCTCGTCTGAATTTTCTGGAGTAGACCTTTTACCAAGTGGCTCGCTTATTGACTTAGAATATGCCGATGACATAGTCCTACTTGGTGAAGACGCTGACAAAATGCAGAGTCTTCTGACTACCCTAAGCAACAATGCAAGCATGTTCGGAATGCGGTTTTCCCCCTCGAAATGCAAAATGTTGCTTCAAGACTGGGTTGCATTGGCACCTGAACTAGTGATAGGGAGTGAAGTAGTCGAACGTGTAGACCGCTTCACTTATCTTGGGAGTCTCATCAGTGCTGATGGCCTGGTCACTGACGAAATCTCAGCACGGATACAGAAGGCTCGATTGGCTTTTGCCAACCTGCGTCACTTATGGCGTAGGCGAGATATCCGTTTGCTGACTAAAGGACGAGTGTACTGCGCAGTAGTTCGCTCCGTCTTACATTATGGCTGTGAAACATGGCCAGTGAGAGTAGAAGATATTCGTAGGTTACTTGTTTTCGATCATAGGTGTCTTCGAAGCATTGCTCGTATATCGTGGGACACCCGAGTGAGCAACGCTGTTATTAGGAATCGGGTGCTAGGTAAGAATGGCAGATCAATCGATGAAGTATTGAAACTTCACCAGTTGAGGTGGTTGGGACATGTGTTGCGTATGCCCAACCACCGGCTGCCTCGACGAGCCTTGTTTTGTAGTGTGGGAATAGGTTGGAAGAAAGCTAGGGGCGGCCAGACCAAAACATGGCAGAAATCCATGAAGTCATTGACTAGTGGACTGAGCCATGTCGGTAATTGTCGACTACCTGGTTGGGGTCCGCGAGATGATAATAATCGATGGTTAGAGACCTTGAATGACATGGCTCAGAATCGTTCGCAATGGCGCCGGTGCATTTATTCTCTATGTTCTCTCAAATGCTAATCTTCTGGATTCTTCAACCCCTCTAGTTTCGACTCTCTAAACTTTTCTCACTGAATCATACTTCTTGAATAGTATCTTCTAATCCTAACCTCTCCGATTATTTCTAATTCCCTTACTACCTCTTCTACTATTGTATTTGAATTGACGATTACTTCTCTGTGCTGATGTGGTATGGCAACATGAACTGATGTACTTATGTACAAAGTTCTACGTTGCATCTGACTGACTGACTGACCTGAAAAATCTGACGGGTGTAATGTTAACACCAAAAGCATGTCTATGATAAAATTAAACAAAAATGGAGAGAGTTACACTTATTCTCCTGTGATTGTCACAAGAAGAATTTTGACTTTTCTTATAAATTGGGACAGTCAAGGATTGAGACCACTCGGATGGGATTACGTCTAGTTCCCAAATTCTACCCAAGATCTCAGTCAACCTAGCTGATAAAACTGGACCACCATCCTTGTATATCTCAGGGGTCAGTCTATCAGGACCTGCAGCTTGTCCTCGTTTCAGATTTCCTATCGCTTTCTCAACTTCATAAAGATTCGGAGGACTTAAATCGATATGCCATTCAGGATGACTGAGGATCGTGGGCAACCGAAGTGTGGCTGAAGGACAGTTGAACTGATCCCCCATAGATGTAATTTCCTGGATTGAGAATGAATAATAAGATCATCTTTTTCCGAGATAGTCTCACTTACTGTCGGATTTCTAATATCGGTTTTCTGTATAAGGCGGAAGAATAAAATTACGAAAAAAACAAAATAATTTTTTCTACTGAATCCTACTAAAACTAAGTGAGTGAATCAAGCTTCTTCTGAAGGCACAGTTTGGATTTGTTACGCGAAAATTGTCGAGTGTATCTGTATTTTCTTTTTTTTTTGGACTCACATAATAATGAACAAAAACTCAAAGATAAAGAATTCTTATGGAAAATTAACCCGCTTCAATGTAGAACTTGATACGTACATACATTAACCAGTCCAAGATGCCATATCACATTAACACATTGTGGACGAATTGTCCATTCAACTCCTATAGTAGTAGAGATAGTAGAAGTATTAGCGGTTATCAAAAATATTACGGTTCGAGAAGTGTAATTTCAGTGAAATAAATTTAAAAAGAGATAAGAAAAAGTCTTGAGATCATGAGAGAAGACAAAGAAATGGATGCACCAGCGCCATTGCAAACGGACGATTCTGAGTCATATCATTCAAGGTCTCTTACCATTGGTTACTGTTGTCTCGTGGATCGAGGTCGCTAAGACCAGCGCTCCTCAAGAAATACCTTTCCATGGTGTAAGCAGCCGAAAAGTGACATCCGCCTTCATACCCTGTAACAGCACACGAGACCGAATAAGTCACAATGACATACTTTTTTTAATGGACAAATAAGCGAAAGGTTTTACAGTTGATAAATAATATGTGTACTATGTATAAACATTAACAAAATAATTTAGCGATTTTTTAGTGAGTTAGTTTTTTGAAGGATGGTGTCCTCAACCCCCATGCCCAACCCTCCTCCTTTATTCAGACTTAGGACTGGCTTCAGAAGGACTCCGGGTGGACAAAAATCAATTTTTTTAAATTAGAGCCAAAAAAAGAATTCAAAATTATTACATTCTACGGTGAAATATCCATATATGCTGTGAATTCCTGTTGAATAAGGCGAACGTTTACTTGAAATAGCGATAATCGACTGATTGATTGATTGGTTACTTGTGTTTGCATTGAATAAAACCGCTATCAGATAGAGAGTTGTTCCATGTTCTATGTTATCCATACCTATAATGATGAATTACTTCTGGTTAGCGTTTTTTTGTTGGCAAGTTATTTGGGATGGTGGCGCCTACCCCATGCCCAACCCCTTCCTCCTTTATCCGGGCTTGGGGCCTAGCTGTAGCCCCGAAGGGTCTACAGGCGGAGTTATTATGATGAATTCATAGTGTTGAAATTATATGCATGACAGCCTAACGTCAATTCCTTATTCATTCAATGTTTTATGCTTGTTTGTTAAAGGATACTGGACAACCTAGTATTGGTCATCATATGGGTCCTTTAGAAACTGGTCAAATTTATTCTGGAGGTAATTTTCAATAGTGAATAATTTGTATGTATATTAATACCATACAATGTAAACAGAAACACACATGTATCTATCTATCTATTGTATGTTTATATATATGTATGCTGCTGTTTTGTACACCACCGAGAATTGAGATATTTTTTTAAAAATCCCTTCTCTTATGTGTATGTACAGTTGTGTTTAGAGTTCAATGATTCAAATAGGCAAAGATTACAATGAAACTCATCAATTTTCACAACTTGATTATAAAAATCATAAAATCGTGTCCACTGATGACTAGCTTTATGAAGAAATTCTCCTAGTTCTAGTGGAAAGGCTTGGCTGGTAGAGTTCAACCCTGTTGGATGAAGGCTGCGTAAAATATTTAGATTGATCAAAGATAGACAGTAACACTGTTGGTTGATGGCTGACCCAGCAGTCTGGAAATTAAGCGTTCGCGCGTGAGACCATCGGTCCTAGGTTCGATTCCCACGAGCGAGGATCGTGGATGTGCACCGCCAATGATAAGTTCCATACTCGGACGAAACGGTTATCCAATGCTCCTAAGTTTCTAATGGTAGTCTGACAATGATCAATTCATTAGTTCAATGGCACTCAACAATCTTGATTGCTGCATGCTAAAAACCGAGCCATGATTTATCCAGTGTATAATTTGTAAATCAATTTCAATTTCTTATGTGTCTTTGTGGATAATTCTGTTCACAAATGTTGATACTGCCAAATGATTGGAATGTCATCAACATTTCATCATGAACAAAATAATTATAGTGTTCATTGTAAAAATTTTTTTGTAAAATTTTCTGTGGAATTCATATGTGTATACATAGAACTGCTTTAATTCTGTGTATAATTTTTTTTCCTTTGTTGTACAATTTGCTTCAAAGTGTCAACCACATTCGCTTTCTTCAGTCAGTCACCATAACTTGTATTCTGTGTTACTCATGAGTTACTCAATATACAGTCAGTCAGTTACAACGTTGAGCTTCGTACCGTATATACTGACGCACAGAGACTCAATTGTCAGTTAAAATCCCATAGTGGTAGAGGTAGTAGAAGTATTAGCATTATTCAGGGAGATTAAGGTTTGAAGATATTATTCAAGAAACAGAATCTAGTGAAATAAATTTGAAAAGAGAAATGTGTAGGTCATGAGGAATTCATTAGATTAGAATTTCGGAGAACACAAAGAATGAGTGCACCTGCGGCATTGCAATCGATTTTGAGCCATGTTATTCAGTGTGTCTGTTACGCCTGCACCTTAACACATCAACCTGATGTACTTAAACTTTTACGACTTTACCTAGTCGGAAAACGAGAGCGAGGATCGAGGATCCGGCGACACGGTATGCTACTCAAATTTGATTATCCCAACCCCCATATTGAGCAAAAATAAGAAGACTTGGTATGAAGTAGAACTTGTATTCCACAAGCATCCAGAAAGTACGAGGTCCGAATCCAGATGAGAATCAGGATCCCGACTAGGGATCTGGGACCGGGTCCGGGTCATAAAACGTTACACATAATGCGTATTTATACATTTAGGTTGAATCGGAAACAGCATTGAAGTCTATGACATTGGCAGTTAAGACGACCAATGAGAAACAACATTCGAAGTGACATTGAAATTCAGGATGGCCAATAAAAAACAACATTGGAGTACGAGACATTGATATCTAGAACGATCATAAAATTGACCAGTAAAAATTATCCAATAGGAATCGACCTATAATTCTCTTGGGATATTGTATGAATATCCTAACAGTGTCTAACCATCGATTAATATCATCATCTCGCGGACTCCAACTAGGTAGTCTACATTTATCGAAGTGACTCAATCCACTTGTCCGTTACTTCATCGATTTGTGCCATGTTTCGGTTTGATTCAGTTTTCTTTCAACCTACTACACTATAAAACTTAGCCTGGCGAGGCAGTGATTTTCTCAATCATTTTCTCCATATACATTTATGTATATATATCTCTATACTAAAGATACTTTACATTCAAACTAATAGTAGATAGTATCTTCCTGTTAATGTTTGTTCAAATTCTTAATAAGTCAGAGATTTCATCGAAAACTTTGACTAATATAGACAGCTTGACTGTGTATCGATCGTTAAATTATTACCCACTACTAATAATAATTGACATTTAAAGATGATTGTGGAGTATATTCAATGGATTGTAGTTAAACATGGCAATTTATGGAAACCATCAGCCTATGGAGGCTTAGTACTCGTCGTAGGACTCCAAAAGTCCTGAGTTCGAACCTTAGTTAGGAGGAAGTTGTATTCTGGTTCACTACCGTGGAATGATTCCATTTTCCGGTTTTCAATGATTACACACAACTTAGTTCAGCTATATATTGAAAAATCTGTGCACAAACTCTTTATAGTAATAATGTGAAACATTCGCTTTTTTTAAATTTTATTATACCTTACTAACACTGAAAAATTATACTAAAGAGATGTTTCTTTTTAGATTTTCACCATTGCACATGATTTTCCTCATGGAAATCACATTTATTCAATAAAAAAAATTCATTTTGTTTTGTTATGTTATGTAACGTGTTACAAACAACAACAACAAAAAATAAACGTTTTCCAAGTGTATCATCGATTTTACTGTGGGCTCTTTGTGAAAGTATCGTTTAATATTATTTTATGTGTATTATCTGAGATATCCGTTTACTGACTAAAGCACAAGTGTACTGTGCAGTAGTTCGCTCCATCCTACTTTATGACTGTGAAATATGGCCAGTCAGAGTAGAAGATATTCGTAGGTTACTGGTTTCCGATCATAGGTGTCTTCGAAGCATTGCTCGTTTATCTTGGGACAAACCGAGTGAGCAACGCTGTTATTAGGAATCGGGTGCTAGGTAGGCGTGACAGATCAATAGATGAAGTAATGAAACTTCATTAGCTGAGGTGTTTTGGACATGTGTTATGTATGCCTAACCACCGACTGCCACATCGAGCTATATTTTGCGGTGTAGGGGTAGTTTGGAAGAAAGTTAGGGGTGGCCAGACCAAAACATGGCAGAAATCCATGAAGTCACTGCTGAGTGGACTGAGTCATGTTGGTAGATGAAGAATACGTTTTTGAAGTCCGCTAGATGAAAGCCACCGATGGTTAGATACCCTGAATGATATGGCTCAAAACAGTTTGTAATGGAGCAGGTGCATCCATTCTTTGTGTTCTCTAAAATTCTTAACTTTTTAATTCCTCCTTACTTTTTCTTTAAGTTTATTTCACTAGATCCTACTTCTTGAATGATATCTTCGAATCCTAATCTTTCCGATTGCTACTAATATCTTTACTACCTCTACTACAATGAGATTTGAATCGACAATTATATATCTGTGCTGGTGTGGTATGGCGACATGAACTGATGTACGTACGTACGTACGAAGCTCTGCGTTGCTATTGATTGATTGATTGATTGTGTATTATCTATATTGTTGATACAAATGGGCGACTAAATATATATGCTCCTTGTAAACAATCGAATTTGTGTTTGTGCTGGAAAATTGTCCATGAGTCCGCATATCTTGAGATGGGTGCTTTCTTGTAGGAAACAATACCCCGAGACTTTGACCCATAGGTCTTATCCATAAGGCAGTGGAGCAAAGTTTCTCGATGTCGGTTCATACGCTAGTTGATTCCCTCTAGATCCTTGAAATCATGAACACCATTGGTTTGTAATCAAGGTTTTTCACCAAACTACCCCAACCTGTAGATATTCGCTTTTCATCTTGATAAATGACATCTTTACTATCAAGCGGAATTGATTTCCTTGGCATTGGCTATAAATGCGTAGCCATATGGAGAACGGACCGTCTCCACTACCGATCGTATCAGTGTAATTGAGGGTGGTAGATCAATAATAATTCTTTTACGTTTCCACTTACTATTGTTATTATTATCATTATTATCGCTATTATTATTTTATTATTACTATTATTATTGCTGCATTGTTGTTTTAAGGATCATGTGAAGTATTTTCCAGTCTAATTGGTGCTCGTGGTAAAGATGTTCTCTATGTCGGTGATCATGTTTACGGGGATATATTGAAATCGAAAAAAACAGTCGGTTGGCGAACTTATTTAATTATACCAGAATTAGCCAATGAGATTTATGTTTGGAAAAAGAAAAAGTCACTATTTGATGAATTGCAAAAAATCGATAATAACTTGGAAAGAATCTATCGGTTAGTTCAATTATTGAATGATTCAATGATGATTAACCTTTTGTGTTGATATAAAAAAACATAGTGAAATTTATTTGTGCAAATCAAATGAAACAGTTTTGACCTCAGTTTTTTATGAGTTTAAAACATTTAAGCGTTACGTACAATACTGAGTTCGTTTAAGATTGGATCCTGACGAGCATGTAGTACTGGTCAGTAGTGTTAGCGACATGTGTCAAGTACGCCTTCGACGGTCGATGCTGTGTAGTGTAGTAGTAGTAGTAGTAGACTGGAAGAAAGCTAAGCGCGGCCAGATGAAAACGTGAAATCAATCCATGACGTCATGAACAATTAGACTGAGCTATGTTAGTCAGCGCCGGACTATCTGTTTGAGGTCCGCGTGATTATCGCAACTGATGGTTAGAGGCTTTGAAAGGCATAGCTCAAAATCGTTTGCACTGGTGTAGCTGCCTCCGTTCTCTCTTCCATTACCGCTAATATAGTTATAACTTTACTATAATCAATCAACAACAGCGTAGAACTTCGTACGTACGTACATCATTTCAAGTTGCCAAACAACTTTTGCAAAGAGATACAAATGTCACTTCAAATCCGATAGTAGTAGAGTTAGTGAAAGTATTAGCAGTAATCGGAGAGATTAGGATTTGAAGATATTATTCAAGAAGTAAAATCCAGTGAAATAAACTTAAAAATAAAAAGATAAAGGTGATGAGGAATTCAGAAGGTTAGGACATGGAGAACACAATGAATGAATACACCTGCACCATTGCAGTTGTTTTTAAGCCATGTCATTCATGGTCTCTAACCATCGGTTACTATCATCCCACGGACTTCAACCAGGTAGTCAATACCTACCGACATGACTCAGTCCACTTGTCAGTTACTTGATAGATTTGTGCCATGTTTTGTTCTGGTTGCCCCTAGCTTTCTTACAACCTATTCCTACATCGCAAAACATCGTTCGTCGAGGCAATTGGTGGTTAGGCATAGATAACACACATCCCAACTTTGCTACAATGGATTTCGGATTGACATTTAGAAATCAATGTGCTAATGTGATGTGTCATGGAACTGGTGTTTGTACATACCAAGTTCTACGTTGCAACCGACTGACTTATTTTCAACTTTCACTAATTTTGAAGTGAACTTATGGTTGTCAACTGCTTTTGTGATGCGCCGTATGCGTGTAAACATATATATATGCATTACGGGGTTGTGAAGACTGTTAAGTTACACATTTTTGAAACCATGAATCGATCAATGTTAGACCAGTGCTTCCAGGTTTCTAATGGTGCTCTAACACTGATCGATTCATGGTTTCAAAAAAGATATATATATATCCCTTAAAAATAAATAAAGTTATTCTTTAGTCAATCACATACATTACCATTGTGTATCGATATCTGACTATGACCTACTTTATCAACTTCTATCAAAAAAAATATAAATAAACGTTTACAGGTTCCTGTCAACAATATTCATGAATGCAATTGATTATTCTAACTAGTAGTGTTACATGTCAAATTAACTAAGGTCGCAATCTGTATGTGTTTCGTCCTCTCTAGTATTTGTCATTTCAATATGTCTGGATTCTAGCGTTGACATTCTTCATATTGTGACTTCTTAAATTTGATATTTTACACTTCTCCACACATCTCTCTATTCTATGCCGATATGCATTCAACCGACGAGTCCTAAATAGAAGAACAAAAACCTGTGGCTTATACATATTCCACTGCTAATAATAATAATAATAATTAAAAAAATAATTTCTGTTTGAAATATCTCATGGGCATTGTTGATATTTTGTGAAAATTTTTCCACCATACACGCTTGTTGACTTGGAGGATGCTGATGAAAATGTCCTATTCGGTGAGGACGCTGACAAAACGCAGAGTCTTCTGACTACCCTAAGTTACAATACAAGTATATTCGGGATGAGGTTTCTCCCGTCGAAATCCAAAATGTTGCTTGCGACGGCACCTGAACTAGTGATAGGGAGTGAAGTAGTCGAGAGTGTAGACCGCTTCACTTATCTCGGGAGTCATTAGTGGCTGACGAAATCACAGCATGAATTCAGAAAGCTCTGTTGGCTTTTGCCAACTTGCGTCACTTATGGCGCGGGTGAGATATACATTTACTGACTAAAGGACGAGTGTACTGCACAGTAGTTCACTCTGTCATACTTTCTGGCTGCGAAACATGGCTGTTAAGAGTAGAAGACATTCGTAGGTTATTAGTATTCGATTATAGATATCGTCAAAGCATTGATCATGTATCCTGAGACAGCCGAGTAATCAGTGCTGCCTTTAGGAAACGAGTACTAGGTAAGCGTGGCAGATCAATAGATGAAGTGGTGAAACTTCATCAGTTGAGGTGGTTCGGACATGTGATATGATTGCCCAACCACCGATTGCCTCAACAAGCTATGTTTTATGGTGTAGGAGTAGTCTGGAAGAAAGCTAGGGATGGCCAGACCGAAATATGCAAAACACCTATGAAGTCACTGACAAGTGGGTTGAGTCATGTTGCTCGATGTAGAATACTTTCGCACGCTACCTGGTTGGGGTCTGCGAGACGAAAGTCACCGATGGTTAGAGACAGAATGATGTGACTCAGAATCGTTTGTAACGGCGCAGGTGCATTCACTATTTGTGTTCTCCCTGATTCTAACCTTCTGGATTCCTCATGATCTCTATCTTTCTCTTTCGAAAGTTATCTCATTGAACTATACTTCTTGAATATTATTTTCGATCCCTAACCTTCTCCATTACTGCTATTACTTCTACTATCGCTACTGGATTTGCATTGACAGTTGCCCATGTGTGCTAATGCGATATGTCCACATGAAATTACGTACGTATGTACGATGTTCTACGTTGTCATTGACTGACCGACTTCCACCGTACAAGTGGAATATTGTATAAATGCGAATTTACCGTCAATCGTATTTGTTCATGAATTAACGTTGAAAAGAGATAATTCTCCCTTTTCTGAAATCATGAATCAGTCACTCTTAGGCCATTTTTAGAAACCTGGAAGCACTGGATGGCTGTTTCCACTTGGTATATGGCTTATTAGCAATGAGGATCCACAACTCCTGCAACTCGCAGGAATCTGAACATCAGCAGTAAAATACACCACACAAAATACAGTAGTACTTTCTGTTGTGTAAAAACTTACAATAATAAGAATACAAATAATTTTCTTTTAAAATTTGTTGTTCAGAATGATGCATAGTGATGATGATTAGACTGCCATAGCTTATGCCTTTCGATTAGTCGTTAAATATATATATATTTCTAGCTCGGTAATTTTTTGTAAGCTTGTGGTACATTTATTGCAAAGGTTGTACTAATTTCGTTTTTTATTGCTTTTCCTGTCCTCAACTATCACGTTGCCTGTAAATTGTCTTTTTCCTCTGTTAGCTGTTAGTGTGTTCATATGTTGCAAGTGAATTGCCATTGTCGTATTAGATCAGCAGGTCAATCTTTGTATCTGGATCCGTAGAGTGTGTAGGTTCTAACGATATTACAACACGAAGACAGCTAATAACCTCTATCCTGAATCATGTTTGAGAACGTGTCCACACTCTAAATGTTGTAGTTTTCAGTATTTCAGTCAGGAAAATGGGGTAGAGCCATATAGGTGATAGTCTTATGGAATTATTTTTCACATGTCACTTTACCTCAACACATGATATTATCTGTTTTGTCCTTAACCATTTTACCCATATCACGTGCCAAGTTTCCAACCTTGATTCTTATTTAGTCTTATATTAACTTTATAGCTTTATGTCTCTGATTTCAACAATCACATGTATTAACCAGTAGCAGTAATAGTCATTATAACTTCGTACGTAAGTACATCAGTTCAGGTTGCCATGCCCCATCAGCACAGAGACGCAACTGTCAGTTCACATGCCATAGTGATCGACATAATAGAAGTATTAGCAGTAACGGAGAAGATTATGGAGCGAAGATATGATTCGAGCAGTATAATTCAGTGAGATAACTTTAGAAAGAAAATTCAGAAGATTAAAATTTCAGAGAACACAAAGAATGAATGCACCCGCACCATTGCAAACGATTTTGAGCCATGTCATTCAAGGTCTCTAACCATTGGTGTTTTCGTCTAGTGGACCCCAACCGGGTAGCTTACATCTACCAACATGACTCTCCCAGTTGTCAGTGACTTCATGAATTTGTGCTATGTTTTGGTTTAGCCGCCCCTAAACTTCTTCCAGCCTATTCCTATACCACAAAACTTTGCTCGCCTAGGCAGTCGGTAGTCAGACATTCGTATTACAAGTCTCAACCATCTCAAAGTAGTAGTAGTAGTAGTAGTAACTTTGAGCCAACCACTAAATCTTTATTGATCCACCACTCTGTAGCCTCTTCCTCTTTATCCTGCCACTTTAGTCCAGATATCTTTAACCAGCTACCAAATATATATTATAAGTATACGAAAAACAATACAAAATTATACATTAGTAAGCCCGAAAAATGTCTGTGACTGGCGGCGACTGTGAATAGTCGCACAGTGCAATACATCATCTGAAAGTAGGTAATAGGCTACCATTTCTCCCATCTTCTTAGCATTACAATAACCTAGTCATTGACACAGGTTTCTTGAGATGGTACTTACTTACTTACGCCTGGAGCCTGTCTGTAGCTCCTGCCGGTCCTAAACCCGTATAAACGAGGATGGTTGGGCGTAGAGTTGGCGACCCCATCTCACAAAAAAACTAACCCGTTAAAATAAACGCTAACCAAAAAACATAATTCAAGCAATTTTAACTCTGCTCTGAGAGTTGGAAGAACAATTATGACGTCTTGTAATGAAAGCCGAGTTCCCTCGGAAGTCACGAGACCGATGCCCCTTCTGACAACCAGAGCAACCATTCTTCTGGTCACATGGAACGTTCATACATTGTCGGAGACTTGAAGACTAAATCAAGTTTCTTCAGAAATTAAAAGACCTAACTTGGAGGTGCTCGGCATCAGTGAAACGCATTGAACAACTGAGACTAGCTTCAGGAGAACTGCTGTTATACTCTGGTCATGAAGAGGAAAATGCTTCACATACACAAGGAGTTGCACTGATGCTATCCAACAACCAAACACAAAAAGGCACTTATATGATACAAATCTCTTGATTTAATGACACTAGTTAAACTATCTAATATCAATATGTTTAAATCGATATTGATAAATACAAGTATTATTTACATCATGTAGTCATTAGATACCAACAATCATTTAACGACACAAAATTATCATTTTTTGTGGGAGATGATGAGAGTTTCCAAATTTTAAAAAGGAGACATTTTAAAATTGATCTTACATCATATCTCTGCCTTTTTTTTCAATCTCTAATATACATTTAGGTAATTAGGGTTTTTAGGTAAGATGACTGGTGTTGTTGTTGTTTTACTCTTCACCGCATATCCACAAACAACGCCCCCCCCCCCCCAAAAAAAATCAAATGACCTGGGCAATAAAAAGCCTTATTGTTTTTGTTTTTAATTTTTTTTGCCTTAACTTAAACAAAACAAATGAAAGTTCTGTTTATTTTTTGCGTCGTTGAAAAATAACAATCATAATAATAATAATAATGTTTCGTTTACTGCATTGCATAACTCTAGTTTGTTTATTGTTGTGAAATATCTTTGATTTTTAGCGATTTGAATATCTCATCCGATATAAGACCGGATGTTGGTGATTTACAAAGGAAAATTCGGGTAAGTCAGTAGTATATTGTGTGTGTGTGTGTGTGATGATGTAGGCTGAAAAAGAAAACAAACAAATTGGTTGTTTTTCTTGGTGGTACTACTACTAGTGCTGTTTTTTTTTATTTATTTAAGGATACAAAACAGCGGTTCCCTTTGATAAATTTGAATAGAGAAATGAGAAGATATATTTTGTGAGATAGTAAGTAGTACCATTTTGTGCTCTCTCGTCAGTCATATACAAACAAGCAACATGTTATTTATTCGTGTACATACAGTTTTGAAGATAAGTTAAAAATTTCTTATTTAGCATGATATTCACTCACTAGAAGAACCATGGTAAACAATATAAACGTTCTGTTGTCAAAACTTTATTCGCTCGAGCAAGTAGAATCTGCACGGCTGATACATTGAACGACGAATTCAAGCTTATTACTGAGATACTTAAATCAAACGGATATCCCGAAACGTTTATTGGTCATCAGAACACAACTACAACGAAGCTGATAGCAACTGATGTGCCCAAGAAACCAGTATACCTACAGTTACCTTTCAAAGGTGATCACTGCATGAAAATTACAACCAAACAGACTGCAGCTGCAATAAAAAAGACCTTCAATGCAGCTAATCTGAGGCTTATCACAACAACCCAATCGATCTCAGTTACCCCAATCAAGTCTCCAAGACCGATTCACTCCAAATCCCACTGTATTTACCAATTCACATGTAACTGCGGAGAAAGTTACTTAGGGAGGACAGATCGCCGATTGGAGGACAGGAGGATGGCGAAACGTATTCCAAGATGATTGGTTAATCAAATCCATGATTCATCAACCTAGCCCATCATCTCAAGATCGATCAAGAAACCCAGCCTCGTCTATTGCAAAACATCTAATGATGAGTGGTCATCAAATTGACCCAAAATCAGCCTTTAGAGTTGTGACATGTCATCAAAACCCCCACACACACTGAAACTACTCGAAGCTATCTTGATTGGTCGGAAAAGTCCAACTTTATGTGTTCAAAAACAACTGTATGTTGACCTTTGTTTACCATGGTTCTTCTAGTGAGTGAATATCATGCTAAATAAGAAATTTTGACCTAATCTTCAAAACTGTATTTACACAAATAACATGTTGCTTGTATATGACTGACGAGAAAGCACGAAATGGTACTACTGTCTCACAAAATATGTCTTCTCATTTCTCTGTTCAAATTTAGGGATAATTATTTCAAGTAGAAGTGAATGTTTCGTTTATTCCACAGATATGTTACATCAGTGTTTATTCCTTAAAAGTCTGTTGTTCTGTTTTGGTCAGCTGCTTTTCGATAGTGCTATGGTACTAAAATGTAACAGTTGTCTATGTTTTTCAATGGTTGTTTAACTTGGATCTCATTTTTTCTCATCTCCACGAAATTCTAGTTTTTAAAGCCCTCCCACCCGGACGCCATACTGATAAGTATCAAGTGCTGCTCAGATGCAACGTAGAACTTCGTACGTAAGTACATCAGTACATGTTGCCATACCATATTAGACATGTGATTCCCATCCGGAAGCAGATTGGAATGATATCAAGAATGCTGTGGAAACAGCAGTGATATCTGCTAGTAAGGTAAACCATATGGCTAAGAATAAGCCGTGGATCTCAGTAGCATCTATCTACCAAACTAGTGACCAGCTTTATAAAAAGAGAATCTCCTGTAGTTATAGACCAATTAGAGTTGAACTGTATCGGTTTTGCGTTTGGTACTCATGGGAGATTTGATTTATCATTATTTTGTTAGCACATACTGACTGTTTTCATATGAAATAAATATGAGGATTAAATCAAGTTGAATTCATTTTCATACTACATATATGGTTAGGGAGTTTGAATGACATGGCTCAGAATCGTTTGCAAAGGCGCCGGTGCATTCATTGTTTATGTTCTCTCAAAATTCTAATCCTCTGGATTCCTCATCTTACTTACTTACTTACTTTCGCCTGTTACCCCAAATGGAGCATAGGCCGCCCACCAGTTTTCTCCAACCAACTCTGTCCTGGGCTTCTTCCTCCAGTTCTGTCCAATGTTTGTTCATTCCTCTCATATCTTTCTCTATTTCACGGCGTAATGTATTCTTTGGCCTTCCTCTTTTCCTTTTGCCTTGAGGGTTCCATGTGAGGGCTTGTCTCGCCCTCTGGATTCCTCATCACCTTTATCTTTTTCTCCTGAAGTTCATTTTGAACCCTAATCTCTCCGATTACTGCTAATACTTCTACTACCTCTACTACTATTCGATTTGAATTGACCATAATATATCTCTGTTTGTTCTAATATGGTATGTCAATTCGAACTGATATAAATACGTACGTACAATGTTCTACATTGTTGCTGACCTATTGACATATTTTGCACAAAATTTCTATTGTATGAAATCGAAAATCTAACAATCAATCAATAATTTTGATTGGTTAACTGAATTTTTATTTCCATTAAATAAAAGTATTTCATCATTATTATGCGTAGTTATTATTATGATGCTACAATGATCTCCTATCTGACTGATAAGTTGATCAAACACAAGAATGAAGTTCTTGCATGAGTTTTGTCATCTTTGTCAGTTGTTATTACCGTTCAACAAATTGTAAAAAATTAAAACGATTTATGAATTTAGTGCATTTCATTGAGATCATCAATTGACCAATGTTGGATGAACATTGGAAACTTGAAAGCATTTGATGTCCGTTTCTTGCCTAGTATAAGGACTTACTAGAAATGCGAATCCATGACCTCGAGAACAGGAAACAAACCTAGGATCTTCGATTTTATGCGCGAACGTTTGATCTCTTGGCCACTTAGCTGACATTCAACGGTGTTCATGTCAAACTTGATTGGTTTTGAAGACCGAAAGTCCTCGATTAGATTCCGGCAGTCAGAGTTATAGATATACACTGCTGTTGAGTTACATAGTAAGACGAAACCTCCGTCATTTGTAGTGCTTTCAGGTTTGTAATGGTAGTCATCTAACATTGATCAGTTTATAATTTCAATCAAAACTCAACCCAATCTCTACAGCACCTATCATTGAAATTTCAAAATCATAATTAAAAGACCAACATACATACATACGATTGATTACACTTATTACTCTAATCATTTTTTCCATCAATATTCATCACACTGATTATATGTGTATGGATGCGCATTTCGGAAATGCGAGATTTTAAAGTCCTAACTAAGGAAGCTTGTTCGCCTGTTTGATGTAATGTATGGACAATACAAATCTCCAACATCTAATTCACAACAGGGTTTCAGGAGACCAGGAATAATGACGTTTCGTGAACTCGAATCGTTTGTATTAGGGGTGCGAGTTGATAAAAGAATGTGAGAAGGTGATATGCTTGAGCTATTGACAAGTTCGCCTTATTGTATAAACAGAACGAAGACCAATGATTCAGCGACACGACAGGCTATTGTCCCCAGTAACTGGAGAAAGAAGTTTTGATGAAACGTGGAGAAGCGTATTCCACAGGCACCCAAAAAGTACGAAGTCCACCAGCACCCTAACTCAAACTTATTTATACAATGATAAAACTCCCTAGGTGAAAGCCACAAAATAGCGTACTAAAATACTCTGTCAACGAATGACAGTTAAGGATTTCCCGAGTGCGGTAAATACAAGCTAAAGGTCAAAATATGCGTCGTTGGCGCGAAAACACAAAATTCAACATTTCAGATCAAAATTACAAAATTAGGACCTTGTCCAAGTGAGTCCTGGGGATCTAACGTCCCCAACAGAAAGGTTAGTCGTGGAGATAAAAGAAATGTCATGGAATGGGTAGGAAGGATGATACTACGATTACAAGTATCGCTCTAGTCATTGTTTATATCAATAATCATCATACTGATTGTATATATATATATTTTTTTCTCGAAAATCTTATTGTCATTCGTTTTTTTTCATTTCTATGTGTTTGTGTATAAAACAATAGGCTGTGGCTCAACAAATGGAAGAATCTTATGGTGCATTGGGAAGTATTTTTAGAAATGGTAAATATTGTAAAGTGTTGTTTTTGTTTTGCCTTTGCTTCGGTATTCTAGCGCTCTTTTTCGACAAATAAAAACTATCTATCGTATCCTACTAGTTAGTTCAGTATATTCCTATTCTTGTTAAAATAATATGGTAGTTCTCATGCCATAGGCGATGATGTTGTTTTGTCCAAACGAATGTAATCACTGTGATGTCATACATATATAAAATATGGGCTTTTTCTGTGAAAGTAATTCATCAAGAACTAGAGATTTCCATTTATGTTTACACGTTCTAATACGTACTCACACATGCACACTGACACACCCACGTACAAACATACAAAAAACAAACATGTAGCATCGAAACTGAGGTTTGGACTGAGGAATAACTGTCTAGGGAGGTTAGATACGCGCTGTTGCCCAGTTTAACACCAAAACAAGCGATTTGGGTAAATAACGGTTCTAATATTCATCATAAATATAAATATACATCATTACCTAAACAAATATCACCACTTAGTTATCCCACCGACAATTGTTCAATTATTCAAATCAACAGCAACAAATAAATGTTATTCTATTCTTTCTGGATAGATCAGATTCATTCGAGTGATAATATTTGGTTGCTTTATAACACAAAAGATTGCTTCAATTCACAATCAGAATGCACAATTCCAGTCAGTAGCAAGCAACCCAATCAAAAGAGTAACAAATCAATATGGCTGTCGCCATGATTAAGTATCAGCTAAAACAACACCAATGCAGTTCAGAAAGAAACATAGAAACTCAGTGAAGGCAAAAGAAATAGAAACTATAATAAAATACAAATATTAGCATCTCCGAAATGGAATCGAACAGACTAACAAAATGTACAACGGAATTACAAATGTATATATATGGAGGGATTTTCACAAACAAAGCCTTCAAAATGGCTCTTACAAAACATGCAAACCATAATGCACATGGGCTGCACTGAAAAAAATGATTACATCGTGTCACCACTAAAATAAATACATATATCTATCAGATAATTAATCGGCTTTTTCACCGTTGTATCATGTATCTCTACGTTATCAAACTGACTTTTGACCTGCTCTCGTCAGTAGTTTCTCACTTATCATTTCGCTTTGTACTTATGATATATCTGACTGTAATATACTCGTCAATTGATAGGTTTGAATGCTATTACGAGTTCACCTTACTCGGTGAACGAAGCGCAGATATATGATACAGTGACACGATAGGCTATTCTGATCTGATTGTCCCCGACCCCGCTAACAACAGCAAAAAGTTTCGTTAAGGTGTAGAGAATGTATTCTGTAGGCACCCAGAAAGAATGAGGTTTCTAAACACACAAATCAAGCTTATTTATGCAATGATAGCAAATCCCTCCGGAGAGCCACAAAATAGTGTACTAAAATAATTCCGAGTGGGAAATATAAGCTGAATGTCAAAATAAGCGTCTCCGGGCGCGAAAACATAAAAACATTGACTCAATCTATCAATAGGATCACTGTTAATTAGAAAAAATAAAGAAATTCCAGCAGAGAAGAAAATTTTTTGCCACTGTCATTTTCTACAGCTGTACCGTGGTGTCGATTTTTTTATTTGGAAAAAATCATGTTTTATTTGGAAGAGTTCTCAACAAAAGCAAAAGTTACCAAAAAAACTTGGTATTGAATAATAACGTGGCATCATAAAGTCAACGAGTAGTAATATCGATCCATCTGACGTGTGTGTGTAAGGTAAGTATCTATCAGTTGACACGTATAAAGAACTGATCATTTAATGTCAAAAAGCATTTACAAAACTAGATGAGGTATATTGAGAGAATGGAAATATACTACTTTCATGTTACTGACCCTGTGCCTAACATTACGTCTTCATTTTGGTGATAGCTTGAGATGGGCTGCAAGTGGAGCTATTTTCTTTCCGGTTACAATTATATTTTCTAATCATTTGGTATAAAACTAGTTTCTAATAATTGCTTACTCTCCTAATAAGGTGTAGGCCACTGACCAGTATTCTCTAATCAACTCTGTCCTGGGCCTTCTTTTCCAGTTCTGTCCATTTGCTATTCGTTTTTATTTTCATGTCTGTTTCCGATTCCCTTGTGTAATGTGTTCTTTAGTTTACTAATTTTTCTCTGGCCTTCAGTATTCCAAGTGATTGCTTGTGTTGTGCTGCTATTGGGTGCTGTCCTCAATGTATGGCCTATCCACTTCCAGCTCTTTTTGATAAGTTCGTCACTAAGTATGCTTCAGGCTATTACGAGTTTACCTTAGTCGATAAACGCGAACTAGACTTTTGCCAGCGTCCAGGTAGGCTACCATGAATCCCCAAGCGAGTAAAAAGACTTTGTAAGTGTAGAAGTATATTCTACAAACACCCAGCAATCACAGTACAATCAAGCATACAACTCTCGTTTATTTATACAACATAGAAACGTCCTAGTGGAACAGTTAAGAAAATAACATACTAAAATACACAGCAGCCAATCACAGCCATGGATTTTCGTGGTGGGAAATGAAATCTCAAGGTCAACTGATCAGCCCATGCTGGCACACGTGAAAACCAAAATAGGGCATTTATCAAGCGAATTTTGGAGATCTAACATCCCCAACACTTTTACTTAATTTCTTTCTCAACTGGAATCTAGTTTATTCTCTCTCACATTTGATTGTTGGGCCAAGTTTTTTCAAAATGCCAATACAGAAATAGATGTTTGTTTAACTGTTATCTCTGAATAATTGACCACTAGAATATAGATTGGGAGGTCAATTTCATAGTTGCATAGTTGTTTTTAGTTGATAGATAGAGTGTAATGTGGATTGTATATATATAGCCTTTATAGTCTAGATAATTTGACATGAAGAATGTATTGTTAAGATTGTTAGGCGACTAACTGTTCCATAGTCAATAACAATGAATGTTTATCATTCTTTGTATACACATGAATGAGTTTCTTTAGTATGATGAAAATTATAGTTTAATTTTTTTGGTATACAAGAACTTTAATAAATTTTTTCATAATCGCATCACAAGGTTGTGAAGATTGTTAAAGTACACATTTAAAATCATGAATCGATCAAGGTTAGGCCGCTAATAGAAACTTGGAAGCACTGGACGGTCGTTTCGTCTTTCGTCCTGGCAGCGACACCATTTGAGAAGACTGAGGCAGGCGCGATAGATTGTATTTAGCAAATTTACACTCTTAGTCAATTAAAAACGAAAACATTACATTGAACACTCTATTTGCACACCATCTTTTAGTCCTGACTTCCAACGCTCCAGCCTTTTTCCATTCCTGCTGTTGCTTCCTTTACTTCCCGTCGGTACTCCATTTACTTCTTGCTTTTGCTCCATTTGCTTTCCGTTTTCCTCTTGTGACCGTGAGAGTTCTTCTTTCACGTCCCTTCTTATACTACTTATATCGTTCGTATAAGTAGCACACACCACACTGGGAGGTCGTTTCGTCCGAACGTGGAACTCATCAGCAGTGCGTATCAACGTCCCCTGCTCGCCGAAACCGAACCCAGTATTTTCGGTCTCGCACGTCAAAGTTTGATTTCTACTTTACTGAGCCGGCGATCATCCAACGGTGTTTAACTTTAATCAATCTAAGGTATTGCGCAACCTCACCGAATGTCTTCGGTGGGTAACTAACTAACTGCCTACACCACCCAACAGGGTTGTACTCCACTCACTAGTCAAGGATTCTCGCTTACAATATATTCATGATTTCATGTGAGAAACACTCATCTTCATAAATCTCTATTTTGTTAAAAATTCATTTTCTCTAACCCTTTTTTTTGTTTTTTGTGTTTTTAGGTTCACGGCATACATTCTTTTCTTCGCAAGTATTACGTTATGCAGATTTATATTCATTCTCTTGTATAAATCTAATGTATTATCCATTGTGTTATATGTTTCGTGCACCAGCTATGCTTATGCCACATGAATCTACTGTATCACATGGTGATTCACCAAAAGATAGTTTTTCTGATTTAGATTCACTACCATGTGGACTACGTCGACGTACTAAAAATGGTAATTTTTATACTATCTTTTTTTATTATTTTATGTATGATGTATGCGCATGTATATAGTTTTAAAGTAGGAATAAACTTTGTTTTATAGTCAAGTTTAGCTTTAGAGATAGATGGTTTCTTTGGTGAAGTAGGCTGACTACCCTTGTTGTAGTGTGTCGATTTACTGCGTGTTCTTAAGCTCGGCAATGAGCTCTTTGAGACAATCGTTACTAAATAGCGTCTGACGGTTTATAAATCAGGAGATGAACTCGTGGTATTTAAAAACGTTTATTTGGGAATCATCACAAAGCGAAGCGGAGAAGCAATAGAAATGGATTGGTTAAATAAATTATTAATCGAAAGGGCTTAACCAAATTAAATGTAAGCGAACTGGAATATATGTGGAGGCACTACACGCTAAGCAACAATGCAAGCATGTTCAGGCTGCGATTTTCTCTGTCGAAATGCAAAATGTTGCTTCAGGATTGAGTTGTATTGGCACTTGGACTAGTGATAGGGAGTGAGTTAGTCTAGGTGGTTGGGAAATGTGTTACGTATGCCCAACCAGCGAATGTCTCGTCAAACGATGTTCTATGGTGTAGGAGTAGGTTGGAAGAAAGCTAGGACTGACCAAGCCAAAACATGGCAGAAATCCATGAAGTGACTGACAAGTGGACAGAGTCATGTCGGTAGGTGTCGACTACCTGGATGGGGTCCGTGAGATAATAGTAACCAATGATTAGAGACCTTGAACGACATGGCTCAAAATCGTTTGAAATGTCACAGGTACATCCACTCTTTGTGTTCTCTCAAATTCTCTATTTTTTCTAAGTTTAGTTCATTGAATTACAGTTCCTGATTCATGTTTTCGAATCCTAATCTTCTCCATTACTGTTAATACCTCTACTCTCTCTACCACTTTGGGATTGTAACTAACAATTGCATCTCTGTTCTAATGTTGTATGACAACTTGAATTGATGTACGTACGTACATACGAAGTTCTATGTTGTAACTGTCTGACTGACTATCCTAGCGCCCAAAATGAATTCGTATCCAGAAATCTAATTCTTAGTAATTTCTGTGGAAGAACCTGCGTAAGATTGCACCTTTCAAGAGTAAAGTACTCACACAAAACTGTCAGGAACCTGAAATTGCACTCACTGTTTGTTGTTAGTGAACAGATAGACGTAGTCGAAAAGTCTATATACCTAGGTAGCTGAATAAGTTACTTGTGATGACGTTAATGACAAGATGAATTCACGTATAATGCAAGCCAGATCGACTTACCTCAATCTAGGCCATTTCGGCACCTTTGTAATACTTGTCTGTCTGTAATTGGTAAAACCTTACCACTCCAAATTGAGAATGTTAAGTAACTCTCTATGTTTAATGGTCGGTATCTCCGAAAGATTGGCAACATTCAGAGGTAACAGTATGTTACTGACTCAGAGGTTTGGCAACGTGTATTGGAGCACACCAACCATAGTTCAATCCACATTAACATCTTGAAACATTTACTTTGGTGGTTTGAACAAGAATTACAATTGTTGTCTAACGGAATCTTAAATTTGGCGAATTATTTTTCAACTTTTGGCCGTTGTATTAAATTTTATTTGTAACCATGAATCGATCAATGTTAGACCACCATTAGAAGAAACCCGGAAGCACTGGACGGCCGTTTCGTCCTGGTATGGGACTCATCGGCAGTGCGCATCCACGACTCCTGCTCCTCGCAGGATTCGAACCCAGGACCTTCGGTATTGTGCGCGAACGCCCTAACCGTTAGACCACTGAGCCGGTGTCTAACAGTGTTAATGTCTAACTTGATCAAATCCACGCAGTTGCGCGACCTCATACCCTGTATACATCCGGACAGGTTTGAACTTCACTGGTCACGTCTTCCCACTAGAACTCGGAGAAGATTCCCCACCAAGCTAGTCACTAGTGGACACATGTTATGAATCGATTCATGGTTACAAATAAAACTTAACAATCTTCACAACAACCCCGCAATCTGTTGTATTAAAGCAAATTATTTTAAGACTGACATTTCGATTAGTTATTCATGACTGACTCCCTTGGTTTGAGGTTTTTAGGGATGATGTAACTTGTTTTTTTTTGTGGCTTGAGGCATTCATTTTTTCAACTTCTTGGTTTTTTCTTCTACTTTTTCAAAGAAATTACTCCACTCTCGATTGATTACATTTCTTCTTTGAAAAAATCCAATAATAATATTTGTGAATCCGATGAAGAAGACAATGATTCTTATGATTCTGATTGAAGGTGAGCGGATTTTTTTTGATTTGGTGTTTACGCATTCACGTGAACGTCGCCCCCCCCATATTGAGTGAAAGAAGAAGATTTGATATGAACTAGAGAACATGTATTCTACAAGCATGTAGAAAGTTACGAGGTCCGAGTTCAGAAGAGAATCGGGATCCCTTGACTAAGGATCCGGGTTCGGGTCCTGAAACGTTACAGATAATGCGTATTTATACATTTAGGTCGAGTAGGAACCAAGATTGAAGTCTGTCACATTGATAGCCAGGGCGACGACCAATAGGAAACAACATTGAATTACGTGACATTCATAGCTAGGACTTACTTACTTAAGCCTGTTACCCCCAATGGAGCATAGGCCGCCCACCAGTTTTCTCCAACCAACTCTGTCCTGGGCTTCCCTCTCCAGTTCTGTCCAATGTTTCTTCATTCCTCTCATATCTTTCTCTATTTCTCGGCGTAGTGTGTTCCTTGACCTTCCTCTTTTCCTTTGACCTTGAGGGTTCCAAGTGAGGTCTTGTCTCGTGACGCAGTTAGGTGCTTTTCGTAGTGTGTGTCCTATCCACTTCCAGCGCCTCTTCCTGATTTCCTTCTCCACTGGAATCTGGTTTGTTCTCTCCCACAGTAAGTTGTTGCTGACAGTGTCTGACCAACGAATCCGAAGTATTTTGCGTAGACAACTGTTTATAAACACTTGTAGCTTGAGGATGATGGCTTTTGCAGTTTTTCAAGTTTCCACTCGATACAGTAGAACAATCTTGACATTTGTATTGAAAATCCTGATTTTGGCTTTTGGTTGAAAGTTGTTTGGAGTTCCAGATATTTTTCAACTGTAGAAATGCAGCCCTCGCTTTGCCAATCCGCGCCCTCACATCTGCATCCGATCCACCTTTCTCGTCGATGATACTGCCCAGATATGTAAAGTTGTTAACGTCCTCCAAGGCATCTCCATCAAGAGTGATTTGGTTTGTGCATGTTGTGTTGCATCGGAGAATTTCGCTCTTTCCTTTATGTATGTTGAGACCTACTGCTGCAGAGGCTGCTGCTACACTGGTCGTCTTCTCTTGCATTTGTTGTTGAGTGTGCTAGGACTACCATAATATATTGACCAGTAGGAAATTGACCAATAGAATTAGACTTACAAAAATTATAATTCTCTTAGGATATTTGATGAATATCCCACTGTAAAATTATTAGACTTTGCAGTGCTTTTGTTTTTCTCAAAAAGAAAAGTAATCAGTAATTTCGTGACTGTTGTGTTAAGATTTAATTTAAAATGGAGGTGCTTGTCGTAATAACGTTTTTTGGGCTGCTGGAATCATTTTCTTGATTGTAAAAGTTTGTATTACTTATAAACTACTGTTCTGAATTTCTAAAAGGGCTTAGGTATTTTATGTGTATTGAAAGTAAGATGGGTTGTCATTGAAAAAATAGTTAGTAAAGGGACCAAATCAAAATGTGGCTTCAGTTCATGAAATCATTGATTTTGACCAATTTGGTCTCGTGTGCTGTTACGGGTATGAGGGGGGTTGTCACTTCCCAGCTGCCCACACCGTGGAAGGTTGTTTCTTGTAAAACTTGAAAAGGAAAGTAGATTAGTGTTGGTCTTTGAGACCTGGGTGCGTGAGCGCAGAGCCCAAGGGACAACTGCTTAAGGCCGGTCACACACGGCCTTTTGATGAAAGATTTTTCGAGTATTAGCTTCGCCCTTGAAAACCCTTAGTGGGCACCCTTACCGACGGAGACGCAAATCCGTGAGGTAGGGTGAGGTGTGACATTTTCAGGGTCGAACTTTTCTAATCCCCTAACCCCTGCTCCTGCTCCTACTACATCTAACAGTATGGAATATCAATTAACAATTGCACCTCTGTGCTACTGTGGTGTAGAAACTTGAACTGATGTATGTACATAAGTGACCGACTGACAGTTACACTAAGCCCTGTGAATTGTTGTTGTAGGACCAGTATCTGCTCAGGGTACACATCATTATCACATCTAAAAAATGGTCAGAAAGTTAAGGCGACCAAAATAGCTTAGAATCGTTCTGAACAGCGGAAGTGCTCTCCATCTTTATCTTTCATTAGAAACTGAATCGCGAAATCTCTTCATGTGTGTTTTTCAAGATTTAATTTCTGCTAACTATTTCCACTGATTCTGTTACGACTATTTCTACCAAAAATGAGTTTTTTTGTTGAGATGAAATTATTTTTATTTCTGTAGCTGATGATGAATCTTACATAACAGGTTGAAAAAAAGTTCTGTCCAGCCGCTGTCTATTTTTCTCATATCTTTCTCTATTTCTCGGCGTAACCTGTTCCTTGGCCTTCCTCTTTTGCTTTGACCTTGACGGTTCCATGTGAGGGCTTGTTTTGTGACGCAGTTGTGTGCTTTCCGCAATGTGTGTCCTATCCACTTCCACCGCTTCTTCATAATTTTCTCCCCCACTGGAATTTAGTTGGTTCTCTCCCACAATGGGTTGTTGCTGATGTTGTTTGGCCAACGGATCTGAAGTATTTTGAGTAGACAACTGTTAATGAACACTTGTATCTTCTGGATGTCGTTATTTCTGCCTCACACAGTGGAACTGTTTTAGCGTTTCTGTTGAAAATTCTGACTTTGGTGTTGGTTGATGGTTGTTTTTAGTTCCAGATGTTGTTCAACTGTAGAAATGCTTTCCCTGCTTCGCCGATATGCCCCATTACATCTGCATCGAATCCACCGTGATTGTCTATGATGCTTCCATGATGCCTTTCAGTGTTTCTTTTATTGTTTTAAACATTAAAATGATGAATCATTCATTGTTTGACCACCATTCGAAGCCTGGAAGCATTGGAAGGCCGTTTTGTTCTTGCATCATTGGCAGTGCGTATCCACGACTCCAGCTATTTGCAAGACTCGAACCCTGGAGCTTCGCTCTTATGTGCACGAACTTCTAATCTCTCAGTCACACCATTCATTCATCAATTCATTAAATCTATTAAATAATCTTAATTCATACAAAAAAAATGTTTATAACAAGGATTGATTGGAAAGAGGATGAAAAGTTTTGTTTGGTTTTTTTTAGATTACGTCTAGTTTTTTCATTGAACCCCCCCCATGTCTGTCTATTATTTGTCTGTGTTTAGTCTCCCCCCATTTAGATTATTTAATATTCATATTGTTTACGTATAATATTTTTTTGTGGTTGTGAATGTTATTATTTACTAATCAAAGAGAGTAATATATAATAAACAAACTGTTTCATGCCAAGTTTTTTTTTCACTCTTCAATGAGTTAGTAGTTATTATTTAGTAGATCATCAACTTTGGCATGCATTTATAGAGCACTGTTGGGTGGTCGCCTTAGGGATCTAATTCCATTTTGGACGAATGATTGTGTTGTAACGCTTGCTTGAATAATTCCCAGCTAAATCCTATTGCTTAGTATTTATTCTCTGACCACAATACACTCACTGGACAAGTTCCAAAGAATCAAAAAAACACGGTTGAACAGGAAAAGATTATATTCTAAAGAGCAAGGTTAGATGGAAATAAGAAGCCAAAGATGATGGCGAAGGCGAAGGCCAAAAATAGATACAACGTTAGTTTATTTATAGCATTTACATGAGAAGCTTCTGGATAGAAATTCATGTAATCGACTGGATAAGATTTAGCCAATCAGCATGCAGCTAACAGTATGAGAATTTTATAGCCTGTTCTCCAAGAATCGATCAGGCGCTGATTGGTTAGGAAATTAGCCAATCAGCGCGTAGCAACGCAGTCATGCCCTTGATTCCATCTATGTCCCACTAACAGATTGGATATGCTATGAAATACATTTTTCATAGAATTCCCTTTAAAGTTTTTCTTAGACGAACCCCGTTTGTGCGACGGTGGTAATAGGAAACCATATATGAATTTGGTTGAATAAGAAGTTTATTTCATGCAAACAGATAAAAAGCGGGGGAAAGCGAGAAAGCGAGTGGTCTAACTCACTGTTGATGAGGCATGATTAAGAATATACAGTCGGATAGGAGGAAGCTCTGGACATGTGGAAACTGCAGCAAGCAATACATATACGCATTGAAGTAAGAGCAACCAAGGTTATAGGCGAATGAATGACAAGGTCAAAAGATGTGTGAATAGCTCGGGCAGTAAAAGTTAATTAGTTTATCCAAAGGCCGAGATAAGCACCGCGGACTGATAAGTAGAGATTAATGATGCTTAGCAGTGGAATATCCAAGACGCGTGTTTTGACCTCCACAGTATACACTCAGTTTTCAAGTCCCATTTAGTATGAAATGCATGTCGTCAACCAATTTTCGCTTTTCATAACATTCAGTATTATATAACCAGAAATCTGTTCGTATGCTGATCTGTTGATACAGTTCGATCGATAGACTGTCACAACTGTTCTCCCCCGTCCCTACTTCTAATCACCAACATCTTTAAAACACTAAAATCAATCAATAGCAACGTAGAACTTTTTACGTACGTTGTACCTCAGTTGATGTTGTTATACCACATTAGCACAGAGATGTAATTGTCAATTCAAATTCAATAGTAGTAGAGTTATTAAAGCGCTTCGTCTTACTTTATGGCTGTGAAACATGACCAGTAAGAGTAGAAGATATTCGTAGGTTACTGGTTTTCGACCATAGGTGTCTTCGAAGCATTGCTCGTATATCCTGGGACACCCGAGTAAGCAACGCTGTTATTAGGTATCAGGTGCTAGGTAAGGATGGCAGATCAATAAATGAAGTAGTGAAACTTCATCAGTTGAGGTGGTTGAGACATGTGTTGCGTATGCCAAACCACCGACTGCCTCGACGAGCCTTGTTTCGTAGTGTAGGAATAGGTTGGAAGAAAGTTAGGGGCCGCCAGACCAAAACATGGCAGAAATGCATGAAGTCATTGACAAGTAGACTGAGTCATGTCGGTGATTGTCGACTACCTGGTTGGAGTCCACGAGATGATAATAATCGATGGTTAGATACCCTGAATGACATGGCTAAAAACCGTTCGCAATGGCGCCGGTGCATTTATTCTTTCTGTTCTCTCAAATCCTAATCTTCTGGTTTCTTCAACACCTCTAGTTTTGACTTTCTAAACTTTTCTCACTGAATCATACTTCTTGAATAATATCTTCTAATCCTAACCTCTCCGATTACTTCTAATACCTTTACTACCTCTACTATTATTGGATTTGAATTGACAATTACATCCGTGTGTGCTAATGTGGTATGGCAACATGAACTGATGTACTTACGTACGAAGTTCTACGTTGCATCTGTCCTACTGACTGACTGACTGAGAGATAGTAAAGATATTAGCAGCAATCTTAGAGATTAGGATTCGAAGATATTATTCTAATCAAATAAACTTAAAATGAAAAAAAAAATAGAGCTGATGAAGAATTGAGAGAACACAAAGAATGAATGACTGAATCTACGCCATTGAAAACGGTTTTTAAGCCATGTCATTCAGGGGGGTCTCTAACACAACGATTCTAATCTTCTCGCGGACCTCACTAAAACAAGCGCTTTCATTATTATTATTACTGTCATAATTAATATTGGTTTGTTTTTATCTTTACTTCATCTGTTTTTCATTTTCTGTAGCCACTCAACTATACACTGAACATGTTCAATTATTCTGCATTGCCTCTTATCATCGATGTACTACTTACTACCAAACAAAAACTATCATTAAAAACCAGACACACACAGAGAGAAAGAGAAGTGCTCGTCCACGTATATATATACACACACACACACATATATATATATCAATGGATTAATTCTAACATCAAACTGTCAAATCATACTCTCTCTCTTTCTCTATCTATCTATCTATCTAAAATTACTCTCGCTCGCTCGCTCATTCATTCATTCATTCATCCATCCATCTATGATTATTAGTCTTGTTTGATTCAAATCACAATATATTTTCAATTACATGAACAGTTACATGAACAACATAATTCTAGTCAAATTAGCTTCAATAATGCACATAGCTAAAAGAAAGCTGAACAATATTGTGTGAAACTGCTCATTGAATAATAATTTTTGTTTTTCATGCTTATTATAATGTGATGAGGATGATGATGATGATGATTATTTTTTAAATTGAACAACACAACATTGATGATCATTTTGAAATTGATTTTTTGTTTTTTTTTGCGATTTTATATTTAATTATTTATTGATTTATTTTATCAAGAATCTATTCATAATTATTCATTAATTAATTAATTAATTACTGAATTTATTGAAATCATTGCAAAGCGATATTGATTGTATTCCTTCGCCATGATGATGATGATGGCGGCAGTGGCGGCCGCGGCGGCGATGACTGGACAGTTGTATACTACTACCGTCCTCTTTGTCATTATTATTCGTGTTATTCCTTTTATTTTTTTTCATCTGAGGTGATGATTTTTATCTCCGTCTCTCTCTCAATGCGAACTAGTCTGAACACAATTTTTCCCGAATTTTTTTCTCTAAATACAATATGAAAAAATAATATCATATAATCGACGAATATTAGTGCCTATATATATACTACTGACTCACTGATTGATCCCAATGTTGAAATCACTGATGACGTGTGTTGAAAAGAAGAAATTGATGCAGCGCGGGACAAATACAATCGCTTTTCACTGCTGCTGCTTATTTTTGTTTCCTTATTCTTACCTTATCTTTACAAATTTTAAACAAGGACACATTTATTTGTGTGTAAGTGTTTGTGAAGTGTTTCTAATTGTGAATGCAACGACCATGTTATCAAATAGAGATAGAATATCAATCAATCAATAAAATACCCAAAATGGGAAATAAATGATAAACTGCTGAATTTAATTTACAATCATTTTTTAAATAAACAACTAAATGAATCTCTCTGTTTTTTTTAAAAAAAAAATTCTTATTTCGATTAAAATATTTATGATATCTCTTGTTGTTGTTGTTGTTGTCATTGTAGTTGCAGTTGTAGTTGATTTGCAATCAACTGAATATACTACTATTAATTATACTACTCATTATTTTTCTTTATGCCTTCATTGAATGTTGGGGATAGTGGGATATTGCTCTCTCTCTCTCTCTCTTGTTCTTGCGCTACCCGCTCCTGTTTGTTTACAGTGTGTGTGTCTGTGTGTGTGTGTGTGTGTGCAGATTGATGTGTAGGATGTGTGGAGTGAATGTTCCATTGAGCCTGATGATTGTTTGTGTTTGCTTGGTTATTGATGTGTATGTCATCATAACACAGTGATCATTTTATTATGCGGAAAAAAATTGTCTTGATTTTGGTTCGTTTAGTTGTCGTTGTTGTTGGTTTTGTTTCTTCGCTTTCAACTTAATTCGTCTTCCTCCTTCCTGCTCTTGCTCCGCCTCCTTTTCTATTCTAGTCATATTTTACAATGCAATATTATTATAAACTACTTTCTTGTGATTTATAATCGATATATACAAATACTTTTTTTTCTGTTCTGTGTGTTGAATAATCAAAAACTAAAAAAATAAACAAATTAACTTTTTCTATTTTAATTAAATAATTATAAAAAAAATTATTTTGTTTTCTACTGTTTTTTTTTCAAAAAAAAGTTGAGTTTGATTTCGTGTTATCTGTGCTCTTTAAGTGACCTTATCGCCGGAGACGGAAATCTGTAAGGTGTGACATTTTTAGGGTCGACCTTTTCTTCTGTTGAGAGAAGGCAGTATTGCTGCAGATGCTGGTTGTCCGTGGGAAACAGCTTACTGCTGTCACACCCCTCCACGGTCATTAGTACGACTTCGCCCTCAGACTTTGATTAGCTGATTTTAATCTCATTGTTCTCCAATCGAACCTACAGGGTCATATGTTCTAGCCAATATAGCTCGGTTGGCTCATCATGATAGGCAAGCCTGACTCATCATTTGTAGTGCGCATTCACAACTCTTGCTGTTCGCAAGATTTGAACTCAGGACCTTTTTAGATTTTGTGCGTGAACACGTGTAAAAACAATAGTCTTCATAGCTCTAATTGAAAAGTCGTACAATGTTTTCACAAGTGACTAGCTTTGTGATTCGATTCTTGGAGTTCCAGTGGAGTTCTATCCTGTCGAGACAAATGGTTGAGGCGTGTGAAATCCTTGTATTGATCAGAGTTCAACATTAACACTGTTGGGTGCTGGCCCAGTGGTCCAGAGGTTAGGTATTCGCGCGCTAGACCGAAATGCCTGGATTCGAATCTTGCGAGTAGCAGGCGTCGTTGCTGCGCACTGATGCTGAGTCCCATACCAGAACGAAATGGCCTTACGTAACCTCCAGGGTTTTTAATAGTGGTCTAACAACGACTGTTTCATGATTTCTACGTGTTAATTCAACATCAGGATGATAACATGTACGCTTGGAGAGATTAATCGTTCGGTACTAGTAATAAGTCATATAGAATGTTTATTTTTTTCAATAACTAGTTTGTGCATCGAAGTTGTTAAAGTTTATAAAAATATGGTGAAAAATGAAAGCGGTTACAATTAACAATACTACTGATATTATATATTCGATCGATGTAGTCGAAGATATGTAAAGCAAGAGTCTTATGCTTTTTGATTTGGCCTAATTGCATAGTCATTAGTTTGTGACTGGTTTGGACTTGTGTGCTGTTACAAGTATCAGACCGGATGTCACTTCCCGGCTGCTCACACCGTGAAAGAGTATTTCTTGAGGAACCTGAAAAGGAAGGTAGAATAATGTGGCTCTTAAAGACTTGGGAGTGTGACCACAGAACCCTAGGGACAAGTGTTTGATGTCGATCACTCTCGGCCATTTTATGAGAAGTTTTTAAAGTGTTAGCTCGTCTCCTCAAGTGGCCTTACAGCTGGAGATGGAAACCAGTGAGGTATGATATTTTTAGGGTTGACCTTTTCTAACCACTTCCTCCCTTGTTTGTAGGCAGCATCGCTACAGATTCTGGTTGTCCGATGGAAACACCTTATTGCTGTCACACCCTTTTACAGTCAGCAGTACGACTTCGCCCTCAGACCTTGGGTAGCTGCTTTTAATCTCATTGTTCTCCAATCAACCTGCCTAGCATGGTAGAACCTATAGGAACATATGTTCCAGCCAATAAAGCTTGGTTGGGCCATCATGATAGGCAAACCCAAGCACCACGTCAGGTAGCAGTTACAGTCGGGAATAGTTAATAGCATTATGACAATTCCATTTTACAGCTTGACCGCCTTTCTTCAATAGTCATTCAGTGTTACTATGAGCAGTGAATGATAACTCATTCACAAACCTTCACTAAATTGAAGAATTGTATTTTTATGACTACAATTGCATATTTTTTAAAGTTGTAACTGCGTTGTCTATTACAACGGTGACTTGACCAAAAACGCACAGTTTGTTTATAACCAGAAACTGAATTTTATCGTTAACTGGAGAACCATATCGACAATTCCCCCGCGTCCCAATGTTATGTAAACGGGATTGTCGGTGTTATATTCAAATGGACTCTATTGATGATGCCTATACTTGTGCTGAGAACATTAGATCCCCAGAACTTACTTGATAAAAATCCTAATTTTGGATTTTACGTTTTCACACATGGGCTGATCAGTTAGCTTTGCGATTACATTTCCCACACGGGAACTCCTTGACAGTCGTTTGTTGATTTGTTATTTTAGTACACTATTTTTGTGGCTCTCCCCAAGGACGTTTCTATCATATCTGAATAAACGCGATGTCTGGGTGTTTGTAGAATACCAGCTTTCTACACTATATCAAGATCTCTTGCCTTACTTAGTGGGGCTTTGTGACGTTCGTATTGCAGTAGTCTATCGTGTCACTGGATCATTTGTCTTCGCTCTCGTTTACCGACTAAGGTGAACTCGTAATATTTTTCAAGCATATCAATTGACGAACATAAGAACTTGACAATGGGGCATGACTGCAATCCCTCGACCTTGCTATCTATCTAAATGGTTGGAAAAATATAAACCCCACATAATGTCATACTTTTATCCCGTCGTGTCATAAGTTTGTTCCTAGGATTATGTAACACATTCTCAACTTGTTCTATCCAGTTTAAGTTCACAACCTCGATCAAACACGCTGACTCACAACTTCAGTACTCATTACAAATTGATCTACTAAAAGCGAAAAGTGATTCGATGATATCTATTCACACATGTCAGTTACTGATGAATGATTTCATGTCTGCATAATAAGTGTCAATATTAGATCTATAAGCAGAGCTTACCGTTATCTGGGCCAAAAAGGATATTTTTAATGAAATAAACTGACAGTTATATGCAATGATTTGATCCTTCTGATAGCCAGCTAGTTACCAAATTAAAAAAATACTACTTCCACAAAGTCTGCACCGATGTAATTTGAATAATCTTAAAAAAAATTGTAGACAAACGTTTTTTATTCAATATTCTATCTTTAAATCAATAGATTAACTAACCTATATGATAAAAGCATTTGATTAACTGTAATATTGAACTTTGAATCAAACAAATTAGGACAAAATACATTGGGGAATAATTATTGATAATCATGAATTTCACTAACTAGTACAATCATCAGTAGATTTATGTGAAAATCTAAAAAGATGTCAACATACAACTGTTGGGGATGTTAGATCCCCAGAACTCACTTGATAAATGCTTTAATTTTGAATTTCACGTTTGCGAGCATGGGCTGATCAGTTGACCTTGAGATCACATTTCCCACCACCAGGAAAATCCATGGCTGTGATTGGCTGCT